GTACCTGCTGCAAACGAACGGCTTCAATTCTACGCAGAATTTTAATGGAGACCCACTAATTGGCCAACTTTTTGTTTCTAATTTGCTATTTCGATGATGATATCGGATGGTATAAAAGTCTGATTCATTTTGATATTCTCTGCTTATCTCTGCTTTGTATATTGAAGTGACTGGGTTCAAGTTCGTTATCATTTTGACCCTCACCCCTCCCAATCTCAAAATGAAGAACCACAGGATTTCTTCCTAGTGTTTAACGAGTTTCTATTAATTTTCTCGGATTAGCAATGCTACCTTTTGGGATTTGTGCGTAGATGGAGTAGGATTTTCAAGGAACGATAGACTGCCTTTGAATCTTCCTTGACTCATAGCCCTGAGTTTATTTGAGCCTGCGAGTTTGAGTTTACTTGGATTACGGTATCTTTGTCGAATAAACTCCTGACACTGTTAACCATTACTGCTGTGCTGTGGTGGGCCTTGCTACCTATCAATGCGAATCGATATGTTATCGGCAATGCCAGCAGTCCCCACATTAGTCACGGGTGGGATCGCATGTATGGGTCATCATCATGTTCTTAACTGAGCGTATTTTTTAAATGTTGCTGTTCTTAGTGCGGTGATCGGCGAACTAGATGAGGAACTCGATAAGCGAATCGATCTGGAAAACGTGAAGGCCGCCCCGCTGGCAGCTATCTGGATCCAAGGCTAGATTCGCTCTCATTTTCTTCTCGTTATGCGACTGTTATGTTGTCACTGACGATTGTTTCTGTGTGAACGAGTAAATATGATTGTTAGTTTATTTATTTTCCTCCCAGAGCTATAATGGGTAACATGTAGCGGATCTCTTCGTTAAATTGTTTTCATTTTTAGTATTTCCAATGTCGTTTTTAATTATGTGAGTGATAAAAGCAGATTTTTAAACGTTCAAATGTGTTGATTACGCGTGCCTTATCGCTATTCGTATCTCTTCGCTTTGATTCTGCCATAATACTCCTTATCCTTCGATTAAACGCTCCATTAGTGTTCATTTAGCCGCATTCAAAGTTGCTTTGCGGTTAAAGGCACTAGGAATCAAGAAGAAAAAAGGAAATGTCAGGTGGAGATGGCGTGGAGGCTGTTCCTAAGGTAGTTTGGCTTTCATTTTAATGCTTTCCGAATAAATTTAGAAATATATTTTCTATGTAATTGTTGCAGACCAGCATTCATGAGGCCATAATTCGTGAAGTTGAAGAAATCGATTGGTCTGTAGATCCTACTGAGGTTAGTGTCTGTTTTCTCGTCTAGGTAAGCATGAAAATTTAACATTTGTAAGCCGGTGTTGGAGGAGTGCCTAAAACACGA